GGTGGTGGTGGTGGTGGTGGTGGTGGTGGTGGTGATTGGAGGGCAGTCAGTGCCCAGAGGGCACCTGGGTCCTGTTGTGTCTGGAACCACATAGAAGGAGTCTGCGTGCTAAGTCAGAGAGCCTTACAAACTGCCTCAACTCAGATTCCAGTTTATGCCTGAAATCAGATGTTAACCCCTTCCTCCCAAGCTAATCCCTCCCTAACTCTAACAGCCTAGAGGGCTGGTGCCAGCCAAGCCTTATCTGGGGAACAAGGACTCCTGCTTAGTTCCTGGCTCTCATCAGCCTTCAGGAAGGGCCACAGTGCTCTGGTTGAGAAGCTGGCCGGGGGGATGGGGAGGGAAGGAGGAGATAGTTCGAGAGCACCTGTACCCTGAGCCCTTCTTGTCTCCACAGATGGGGAACTGGGAGAGGTTTCCGCCGAGGGCGCTTCTGCTCAGGGTAAGAGCCAGGCAGCGTGCTGCCCTCTAGTTTGTCTGATTCACCCTGCCGTCTCCATGCAGTGCTGTCAGGAGGATGTGAGGATCAGGTTGAGGGATGCTGAGAGCAGTGGCTGCTGTATAGAAACGTCAGATAAAGAATTTTGTGCCCAAACGGGGTGTGTTGAAACTTGTCACATTCAAACTTATTTTCATGCATTACCAGGGTTGGGGAACGTCCAGCCCGCGGGCCATAGAAGGCCCACGAAGTCATTTGGTCTGGCCCTGCCAAGGCATTAGGGATGAGTTAATCAAATGCTTGACCAAATATAGCAGGCTACTTTTTAAGTTGATAATTTTGTATGACCCACAAGTGATATAAATATCCAAAGGGCCCTTGTCAGAAAAAAGAGTTCCCACCCCTGCATTAGACCGGCAGTGGGATTCTCAAATATCGTGACATTTCATGTGTCATTGAATCAACACACAGAGACAGTTAATATGTGTTTAAAGTTCCTGTTGGTTGTGAAGCTGAAGGGGTGTGTTTAGTAGGAGATTTACCCCGTGATTGACTTGTGCCAATACATGTGTGACATCTTTTACAGCTGAAGAATGGGAAACCAAAGAATCACCCACAAATCATTTTAATTCAGGTATGAACTTAAGTTTTCCAACACATTATTTTAAATATCATTATTGCTGAGGGGCATATATACCTTTGAATTTTATAATTGAGCATATTGCACATATTTATTTAAAAATTATTATTTGAATATGCCGATCACATTCATAAAGGTAAAACTTTGTCTCTATTATTTAGAATGTGTTAAAATTGAACCTCACTGTCAACACTGTAATGCTGAAAATGTAAGTGTCTTTTAATTATAAAATATGACTCTCTGATTTGTTTTATTTAAGAAAACACTTAATTATATATTATTTATATATTACATATGTATTTTTCTCCAGAAACACAATGAACAAGTGACCCCCAGACTCCTTTCCAGGGGACAGTTTTTGTAAGTAATTGTGAATACAGGAGACTTAGTATGATCAGTAATTTAATTTTCTGCATAAACATAACGCCAATTAGGGGAGACACAAAATAGCATAACTAATGTCACACATTTTATGTAATTACCTGGATTGTTGTCTCTGATAATGATACTTCTTCACAATGCACAGTTACCTTAATGCTTTTGAGCGAAATTAAAAACGTAAATAACTGTAAGAAGTCCTCTCCTAACCAAACATGAAGACTCAGCAGGTGTTCTTATCTGTCCATCGCAGGCTGAAGGTGGACACGGAGGGAGTGTACGAGTGCACGGAAACTGGTCTGATCTTTGAGGTTAACAGAAAAGTTGACATCAAGTATTGCGTTTTGTCCTGGAGCAAATACGCAGACCTGGTTGTCAAGCCCTGGGCTGTTGGGGGACCCATGTTTGATGTCAAATGTGACCCAGCCTGTCTTACCTCCATTCAGTTTCCACATTCCCTCTGCTTGGGGCGTAAGTACTTGTTTGCTGAAATGTTAACGATGGTGTGTATGTGTGTATGTGTGCAACCCCTGTAACACCTGGACCACTCCTATACCTTCATGTTTTCACAGACCATGATGCCAATATGACATTCAGAGTCTTACATGTTAAAAATTCCGAGGCCTCGTTAGAATGTATTGTGGATCATTCTGCGACCCACGTCAAATGGCACGTGAGCTCTCTTTCTCCTGTGGGACCTGTCATTCAAAGCGAAGAAACATTATACCACCACGGGGCTGTGATTCTGTACAAAGTCATCGACCAGAATCCCTCCTTATCTTTTCGGGTGTACGTAGCAACCAATAACGAGTCCTACATCAAGGTAAAGCCAATAAACATGAATAATAAATGTTCGGTTCTTTGTGTTCAAACATGACACCACGTGAGGGTGTGGGTCCTGTCCCTGTTAAGTGCCCCCCAGCAGGTGTTCTTATCTGTCCATCGCAGGCTGAAGGTGGACACGGAGGGAGTGTACGAGTGCACGGAAACTGGTCTGATCTTTGAGGTTAACAGAAAAGTTGACATCAAGTATTGCGTTTTGTCCTGGAGCAAATACGCAGACCTGGTTGTCAAGCCCTGGGCTGTTGGGGGACCCATGTTTGATGTCAAATGTGACCCAGCCTGTCTTACCTCCATTCAGTTTCCACATTCCCTCTGCTTGGGGCGTAAGTACTTGTTTGCTGAAATGTTAACGATGGTGTGTATGTGTGTATGTGTGCAACCCCTGTAACACCTGGACCACTCCTATACCTTCATGTTTTCACAGACCATGATGCCAATATGACATTCAGAGTCTTACATGTTAAAAATTCCGAGGCCTCGTTAGAATGTATTGTGGATCATTCTGCGACCCACGTCAAATGGCACGTGAGCTCTCTTTCTCCTGTGGGACCTGTCATTCAAAGCGAAGAAACATTATACCACCACGGGGCTGTGATTCTGTACAAAGTCATCGACCAGAATCCCTCCTTATCTTTTCGGGTGTACGTAGCAACCAATAACGAGTCCTACATCAAGGTAAAGCCAATAAACATGAATAATAAATGTTCGGTTCTTTGTGTTCAAACATGACACCACGTGAGGGTGTGGGTCCTGTCCCTGTTAAGTGCCCCCCCTTTGGGTCTAATTTGGCCCTTAACCTACAGAGGTTATAATGTCAGTGCCCGGGTGGGCCCCGAGTCCTCAGATCCACGGAGTATGGTTGTCTATACATGTAAAGAGCATCATGAAGACAACAGATGGGGAAGTAGCTCTTCAGGGGTGGGGTTGGCCCAGGCAAGCAGGTCTGGCCTTGGAGAGGGCTGCCTGATGGACAGCCGAGGTCAGCTGCTCTCTCCAGCAATGCTTCTTAAAACGTCGTCTGGGAACCAGGGGACCAGGACCCTCGGCATCAGCTGGGAGCTTGTTGTTGAAATTTTAGCACACTCTCAGCCCTATCCCAGACCTACCGAAGCAGAGCGGGTACTCTGCAGGATTCCCAGGGGACTCAGGCATGGTTTAGAGTGTGAGAAGCACCTATTACAGAAAACACTGGGGGGACATCTGGGGTCTTTGGGTCCAGAATAAGGCAACTTGAGATTTCTTATTGGCCTAATGCTCCTCAGATATGATGGGCCTCCCAGGTTAACTCATTTAACTCAGAGTGATGTTTTGGATAAAAATTGTCCTATGGTTCGTGGGCTCAACATTCTGTGTTTTATGGCAGCAAATATTCATGAATCACCTGTTGCAGTGAGGGAAGAGGAAGGATTTTGGATATATTCATCATGGTTCAGTTTTCCAGAATGTAGAATAAGGCTGTGATATTTAGCCCATTTTCTGAAGTAAATAGATTAGAATAGTAGTAGTTGAATGTCCTTTCATACTTTTTGCCATTCTCAGTACACTTGTAACGGTTTAGAGGTAGGAGGAGAATAAATAGACAAAGTAAACAGATAAAACAGTGACTTGAAATTATACTTTCAGATTTTAGATCAGGGTTTGACATAAGTAATGTAAGCATTAAAAAACAAAACAAAAAAGCATTAGATTTGAAGTGTACTATACTAATTGAGGAGTTCTAGTTTGAATTACAGAATTTATATCAAACTATCTACTCCCAGTGGTTTAGGTTGTAGTATTTCCTTGACTTTAAAATTAATCATACTGATTATAATTAGCAATATGTATGAAAGTTAAAACACTTTATAGTAAGTAATAGGCTTTTAGTTTCTTCCTAAGAAGGTAAACCTGCTTTTTGTAATCTCATTAATGATAACATGTTCAATTGGGAAGCTAGTTTTCAAAATGGTATAAAAACAATCCCATCTAAAGTATAATTAGCATAGCTTTGGAATAAATACTACTATTTTATGAAGTTTGTATTAAAAATTTTTTTGTTCAAAATAATAAAGGTTCAGTTTTTAAAGCAAACCCAAGGTGGGCTGGTTGATTTCTGGGCAGCTTTAAAAAAAAAGTTTTTATTGATTTCAGAGAGGAAGGGAGAGGGAGAGAGAGAAAAAAACATCAGTGATGAGAGAGAATCATTGATGATCGAGAATCATTGACAATCTGGCCATATGCCTTGACTGGGAACCGAACCGGTGATCTCTTGGTTCCTGGGTCGACACTCAACTGCTGAGCCACACCCGGCTGAGCTGGGAAGCTTTTTTTAAAAAAATAAATGTACTGGGGTGACATTGGTTAATAGGATCATGTAGGTTTCAAGTGTACATTTCTATGATACAAGATCTGTTTAGTGCAATGTGCTAACCACCCAAAGTCAAGAACTTTGTATTTTAAAAGTAAATTCAGTTCATTAAAAGGGCATTTTCCGTGCTTGCTGGGAAGCTGGGTAAGAAGCTGTCCTGTCAGCAAACGGAGAGGAGGAGCCACTGGAACAATAGGGAGCACGCACAGCGAAGGCAGGAAGCCCTCTCTGGCGATGTTTTATGTTTGCGTTCTTCTTCTCGGGATTTTTTTTTCCTATGTAGGAAAAGACTTCCTTGACCTTCGCCTACAGGAAACCCACATTTCACGTCAGCTGCACAGCTGCTTTATCAGGGGAGCCTGGGCCACAGGTTGCTTTAACCTCTTTGGGTCATTCGAGCAATATGTACAAAATCAGTGTCCCCTCCAGGGGGGTAGTTGTGACAATCTGCTGGAAACGAAGTGCTGGGTAGAAACAGCTCTGAGTAAACTGGAACCGAGTCCTAAAACAGTTGCTTTCCATTCCCACGGTGGGCATGTAACGAGCACACATGTATATGCTGGTGCTAACCTCAGTTTGTCAGATTCTCCAGAAGCAAGTTGCTGGTGCCCCGCAGGCTGCCTGTGCTGCTTTCAGCTGTCGGGCACAGAGGATGTTTGGAGATCTAGGAGCCCGCGGTGCAGACTGAGGGTGCTGAGCTTCAGCATTTTTTTTGCGAGCACCGAGGAGGTCACTCGGGCCGGCACTTGGGAGGGAGGAAATGAAGAACCTGCAGCCTTGCCCTGCACGGCTAGCTCTCTTACAGCTCGTAGAGTTGTTGCTGGTGCATTTCACAGCCAAAACCTATCTCCATCTTTAGGATATTGCCAAGGCTGTCAAGCACTCCTCTAAGAAATTCATGAAAATCGACAAGCCTCCTGTGTGCCTGAAGTTATTGGAGCATGGGAAGAAGTACAGACTGGTCAGTGAACCAGAAGCCGACATCACCCCTGAGGTATATATTTTACACACCTACTTGGAGTAATAGCAGGGATGGATGGATATTTCTTAGCTATGGTATTTTGAAGGTTTCAAGGGCATCCATTTTGTTCTCATTTTTTATTTCCTACTTATCAGAAAACAGTTGTCTTGCTAATCTTGTAGTTTATTCCAAAGATGCTTTTTTTTTTTTTTAATCCTCATCTGAGGATATTTTTCCATTGATTTTTAGAGAGAGGGTAAGACAGGGAGAAATATTAATGTGAGAGGAACACATCGATTGGTTGCCTCCTGCACGGGGCCTGACCAGGGCCCGGTCTGGGGAGGATCCTATAACCGAGGTATGTGCCTTTGACTGGAGTCAAACCCGGGATCCTTTGGTCTGTAGACCAATGCTCTATCCACTGAGCTAAACCAGCTAGGGCCCAAAGATGCTTTCAATTTAAGGATTAGTCTGCAACCATTGCAAAGATAGATTAGCTGATCACTTTCCCTTTTAAAAGGTTTTAAATTTTCCTGAATGTTTTATTAAATTCTTCAGTGTTAGCATCAACGGAATGAAAAACTCAACTTTTATTGTAAGTTACAGAGCATTTAAGGTTAATGGGAAGGAATTGCTAACAAGGGAGTTTGGGCTTTTCTTACTGGAAGACATTTGAAAAATAGTTATGGGAACATATTGCCATTTTGATTTAAGCTCTTCGCTGTACACACCATGCCATTTGTAAGCGATTTCAGTTTCTCGTAAATGACTGAGTTATTCTTAAAACTTATTTTCATTATGTGCTCTGAATGTGTGCCGTAGCTTATCTAGCCTAGCCGTCGGTGTAGAAATTCCTTTTGAACACCTCTCTCTGTTTCTCTTATAGTATATAAAAAGTCAAAAACATGTTTTGATTTTATTATATTAAAATATGTATCAAGAGAGAGCTAATCGTAATGATATGTGTTGCATTATTTTATTATCAGGAGCCTCATGCTCTTTGGAGCAATCAGGTTATCAGTTTTCCGTAACTTTTGAACACAGACGGTCGTATTTAATTCCCAGGGTCTCTTTGCACCCATGTCATTTGAGCCTTACGACAGTGCAGCTGTGGAAACTAATGTGCAGAGCAGGCATGTGATCAAATCGCACACCTGGGAGCAGGAAAGCCTGGCCCCGTGCCCCATCTGCCCTTGGCTCCTAAGGCCACGGTCGTATCACCGATTTTAATCAAGCCCTAGCAGACGGTACCTCAAGACAATTACAGGAAGCCAACTGCAGCCTTGTCTGGGAGGTGCAATTCGATTTGAAGGGTTTGCTTAGGACAGTGATTCGTGGCCTTTGCTGCCTAATGGAATCCCCGAGGAGCTTTAAAGAAGCCTGTGGCCTCCCGAGATAGTGACTTACTGCTCTGGGAACGGCCTGGGCCTCGGGCTTGTTAACCCTCCCACGGTGACTGTGATGTGCTGCCAAGGTTAACAGCCACTCAGAGAGGGAATCATGCATAGTGAGTGCATGGATCTGCCCAGAAAGAGACCGCTGTGGTCCCACAAGGTTTTTCTTATAAAGATGGTGGTGGCTGGGGACTTTCAATATAGTCTAGTTCTGTCACTAGCTGTGTGTGCTCTCTTAACCAAATTTCGGGCATTTAAAAATGGGGATAATCTCCCAGGATTGCTCAAAGGGTCGTATAAGTGGTTCGGGGGGCGCTCTGAAATTTGAAAAACTCTGTGTAAATCTTAAGGTGTTCTTACTCGTTTTATACCATTCATGATTTCTTTAACTGACATTTGTGAGAAGTGACTATTCCAAGTAGGCCAGGGATATAAGAACTAAGAATTAAAAAAAATCAGTAAGTCATGAGCTTTTCCCTCCAAAGACACCCGCGTAGAGGGAGAAATGCTTCATTTCCGTAAAGAAGTAATTTTCACATAATGCGATATTATCATCGAGATGGGTGCCAAGTGCAGTGGGTTTTCAGGAAGGTCCGCACGTGGTGACATTTGGTTTGGGTTTGGAGGGGGAGGGAGTCACTGGGGGAAGGAATACAGTGCCTAAGTGAGGTGATGGGATGTACAGCAGGGCTCGGCATGGGGGTCGTTCCAGGGAGGGGAACACACGGGGCTTTGGGAAGAGTGGGGCCAAGGAAGGGCGTTACCTTCGCTTTATGGGCCCTGGTGACCCTTTGAAGATTGTGAGGATAAAGCTAGTGATTTGGAATGGAAAGGGAGAGGGCCCGGTTAAAGCCATTGGTGTATGATGGCAAGGCCCCGGGTGATTTAGTGATACAAAGACAACAAGATACTGTGGGTTGTGTTTTAGATTCACCACAATAAGGTGAATCTGGCAATAAAGTGAGTCACAAGTGTTTTGGTTTCCCAGTGCATATAAAAGTTATATTATAATCAGTATTAAATGTGCAGTAGTATTATGTCTAAAAAAACCAATGTACAGCCCGGCTGGCGTGGCTCAGTGGTTGAGCATCGAGTTATGAACCAAGAGGTCATGGTTTGATTCCTGGTCAAGGGCACATGCCTGGGTTGCAGGCTCGATCCCCAGGGCGGGGCATGCAGGAAGCAGCCAATCAATGATTCTCTCATCATTGATGTTTCTATCTCTCTTTTCCTCTCCCTTCCTCTCTGAAATCAATAAAAATAAAAAAATAAATAATGTACATACTTAATTTAAAAACACTTTCTTACTTAAAAAATGCTAACCGTCAGCGAGACAAAATGTTTTTGCTGGTAGAGGGTCTTGCCTCAGTGTTGATGGCTGCTGAATGGTCAGGGTGGAGGTTGCTGAAAGTTGGGGTGCCTGTTGTCTTAGTTTTTTTTTTTAATGTATATTTTTATTGATTTCAGAGAGGAAGGGAGAGGGAGAGAGAGATAGAAACATCAGTGATAGAATCATCGATCGGCTGCTTCCTGCATGTTCCCTACTGGGGGTTGAGCCCGCAACCCAAGCATATGCCCTTGACTGGAATCGAACCTGGGATCCTTCAGTCCACAGGCCAACGCTCTATCCACTGAGCCAAACCAGCTAGGGCTTAGTTTTTTAAAATAAGACAACAATGAAGTTTGCCACATAGATTGATTCTTCTTTTCACGAAAGATTTCTCTGTAGCATGCAGTGCTGTTTGATAGCCTTTCACCCACAGGTAGAACTTCTTTCAAAATTGGAGTCAATCCTCTCAAACCCTAGCACAGCTTTATCAAGTGAGTTTATGTAATATTCCAAACCCTTTGTTGTCATTTCAACAATCTGCACAGCGTTTCATCTTTCTGCAAGTTGTTTTTGAGTTTGACATGCATCTTCATCCAGTAATGCTTGTAATTGTTGGTCTTCAAACTTTTTCGGTTGACCTGGACGTTCTTTGTCTTTCACATAGAAATCATCACTTTTAAAGCGTTTAAACCAGTATTCACAAGTATCTTTACCAGGAATGGATTCCATCTCAAGGAACCATTTTCTTTGTTCATCCAACTCGTTTTTTGTTAAAGTTTTATCATGAGATTGCAGCAATTCAGTCACATCTTCTGGCTTGACATGTAATTCCACTTCTGTTGCTGTTTCCACCACACGGACAGTTACTTCCTCCGCTGCAGTCTTGAACCCTCAGAGTCATCCCTGAGGGTTGGAACCAACTTCTTCTAAACTCCTGTGAATGCTGATATTTCGACCTCTTCCCAGGAATCATGAATGTTGTTAAATGGTATCTAGAGTGATGAATTCTTTCTGAGAGGTTTTCAATTTATTTTCCCTGGCTCCATCAGAGGAAATCACTATGGCAGCTATAGCCTTAGGAAATGTATTTTTGTGTGTGTGTGTTTTGTTTTTGTTAATCTACACCTGAGGATATTTTTCCATTGATTTTTAGGGAGAGTGGAAGAGAGAGGGAAAGACAGAGAGAAACATCGATGTGAGAGAGACACATTGATTGGTTGCCTCCCACATGTGCCCTGACCAGGGCCTGGCCAGGGAGGAGCCTGCAACCGAGGTACGTGCCCTTGACCGGAATCGAACCCGGGACCCTTTGGTCTTCAGTCCGAAGCTGTATCCGCTGAGCCAAACCGGCTTGGGCAGGAAATGCATTTCTTACATAATAAGACTTGAAAGTAGAAATTATTCCTTGATCCATGGGCTGCAGAATGGGTGTTGTATTAGTAGGCAGGGGAACATTACTCTCATTGTGCATTTCCATCAGAGCTCTTGAGTGACCAGGTGCATTGTCAATGAGCAGCAATATTTTTTTTTTTATTATTTTTAAATTTTTTAATAATTCTTTATTGTTGAAAGTATT